ATTGTCTGAGGGGACGCAAGTCCCGTAAGGGCTTGTAAGGATATTTCAGGCATGCCATTGGATTGTATTTCCCACCCTGGGTTAGACTCTCCGCAACCGGTGATGTCGTCTTCCTCTTCGGCATCTGTTTGGAGGAGAAACGCTTGTTGTTTCTTGCAGCGATGTCCCAGCCCAAATTTCTCTTCGCAGTTGTAACAGAGACCTTTGTCTCTGTGGGCTTGCATCTCTGCCCAGGTCAGCCATTTGAAAGAAACCAGTGGGCCTGGGCCCAATACTTCTTCCTCCTTGTTTGGTGTTGTCGTCCTTTCTTGCTCCCTTCCTGCTCCGGGACCCCATGGTCGCTGCACCTTTCTTTCTCGACTGAACTTGTCCTCGTACAATCTGGCTAGTGCTGCCGCACTGATGACCGAAGTGGGCTGCATCGCTTTCACTTCCAGTCGCAGTTCTTCATTTAGGCCGCTGACGAAGCTTCCCACCAATGCCTTCTCCGTCCACCCTTGGACTCTCACGGCTAGCCTTTCGAACTCCATCTGGTATTCTTTTATTGATCCCACCTGCCGCAGCTTTGCCAAATTTTCATCAAGATCTTCGAATCCAGATGATCCAAAACGGACAGTCATGGCGTCCATGAAGTCTGCCCAGGTTTGAGGAGGGTGCCTCCTTCTGTACCATTGAAACCAGAGGATAGCTTCCCCTTCAAGACGCGCAGAAGCCAGAGCTACCCTATCTTGCCCCGGTGTTTCATGGTAATCGAAATACCTTTCGGCTCTAAGAATCCAGGGAGTTGGGTTGCCGCCTGAGAAGATGGGGAAGTCGATTTTGGCTATTCTTGTTGCCGCCCCTGTTCTGCGGCTGTTTTCATTGCTGCATTCTTCTTGGCTTCCTCTATCAGTGTTCGTTGCCCCCTGCTCCAGTCGAAGGAGGAGAGCAGTGAAGCCTTCCTTCATTTCTTTAAGATCTGAAGACATTCAATGGATTTCTACCTCCATCTGATCCATTCGGGTGTCTACTGACGTGTTTCTTATGTTGGTCATGTTGGCTCTGATACCAAATTGTTAGGAACTTGCCTAACTCAGGGCTCTTCGAGGGGCCAACCTCCTGAATTCTTGGAAGAAGAGAGAGAAAGAAAGAGAGAAAGAGAGAGAGAGAGAGAGAGGGTTTAATGCTGAAAGAATCAATGTCCTAATCCCTTTCCTGCTCTAGTACTTATAGTTTTACAATCTTGATTGTTACAGTTGTTACAAGGAAGTTGTTACAAGTGGATGGCAGTTGTTACAAGTGGATGGTTAGTTGTGCTGACGTGGCTTCCTCTTGTAAAACTGCTTAACTGCCTTTTGTTGGTCTGTTCCAGCAGTCTTGACAATGTACCTCACCTAGGTCCTAGGTGCAGCACTTTCAAAAGGCGAGGCACATTTTAAGGTATGTACCTCGCCTAGGCCCCAAGCACAGCACTTTCAAAAAGCACACACCTGGTGCGCCTAGTGCACCTTGTGCATCAGCTCAGTCATGACCTTTTTTATTTTTTGTGCTTTTTGTCCTTTTTTCAACCTAGAAGATCAGCCGGGGGCTCCGCTCCCAAAACCCCAGTTAGGGTCTTAAATTCTTAATCACTACACAAAAGAAAATGATTTTATAATTTTAATTGCCGTTCACTAGAGTGGAGTAGAACCCCCTATTTGCTAATATTGTTCATTCATTTTTCCTAATAAAATATCATTTTGTGTACAGATTAAGAACTTAAGACCCTAACATGGACTTTTTTGGCCTTGCCACAAGGGGCTTGGTACAAAGGCGACTCATAGAACAAGAAAACTGTTTTACATCACATTAGCTATTTGAAGTAATGCAGTTGGGTAAAAAAAGAGATTGAAGGTGTTTTACATCACATTAACTATTAGAACAAGAAAACTGTTTTATATATTTGATTTTATTTTTAAATTTTCATTTGAATATGTTTTACACAATATGTTTATGTATTTTAATTTTTAGATAATAGGTTTTTTTAAAACTATTTTAAATTTTTTTGAAGTAAAGGTAAAGTATTGATTGTATTCATTCAAAAAAGGCCATTACAAGTATAACCATGTACATCAAATCTTTACAAGAAATAGTTCTGATTGCTCCTTCCCTGCCAACCTTACAAAAACAAAATGGCTGGGTCCAAATAACATTTATTTTAAATTTATAATTTTAATTAATATTATTTTAGTTTTTTTTTTACTTTTAAATTTTTTTTTTTGCATTTTTGCACCTTGCTTCAAAAAGGCACCTCAGGCGCAAATTGTCGCTTGCGCTTTTTTGGCGCCTTGCACTTTTAGAACACTGGTTAAAGTATAATGGAGGCATATAACTCAATAGTCAGTGGAATAGCATAAAAAAAATTAGATAATTTTCCTTTACCTACATTTCTCAGCTGGCGCAGACAGAAACAAAATGAACACCAAATATAGATGTTTTGTATCAACAGGAATGTTTTTGGTTTTAGACAGTCTGACTATTTGATGCATAACTGAAGCAAGGAAAGAATTTATGAGGAAGTACATCATTTTCCCAATTTCTACTGCCTATACCAGTTTCAAATAGGATATTACTAATTTGGTATTGCTCGAGTTTCTTAAATTTATTTTCTAGTCATTAGTGTCTTAAGTCTTAACTCTTAAGAATAGGGTTATAAATTTTCTAGAAATTTACTGTTATTTCAAAATTACTAGTTATGGTAATTTTTGAATTTACCATGTAAAATAATGCCTATACCATTTATGAGAAAATGCAACAACTAATTAGTAGTGATCTATGGGGTCTTTACATTAACTAGTTTCAGTGGTATTGGTAAATTGTTATAAGAGTTGTTTAGGAGTTAAGAGACTTTGTTTGAGTATTCTTACAGGTTCCCTATGGATTTGTCTTAGTTATAAAGCAATTAGAAGTTGATTTGTCAGTTTCCTAGTCTAAATTCGAGTCTGTAAAGAGACATCTGAACTCATTCTTTGGTGCACTTTCTTTCTAATTTCTTACTCATTCTATGGTGCACAGCAAGCCATCTAATGGCTTTTCCATCCATGTTCTTCATCCTTAATCAACCAAAGCCTCCTTCACCCAATAAAGCCCACCACCAGATCTGGAATTTGTAGAGCCCTTACCCCATCCTACATCACTAATTTTATACTATGAAATATCTACATAAGTTAAAGTCTTAATTAAATTTGGCAAGGCATAAAGTCTTGAGAAATGGAATTTAGCAAAAAAATAGATATAAACACATAATACAAGCATATTACATGGGATACCCATACCCATGTCCAAGATAGGAAGTGGAGGGTCTATATCACCATTTCCCATATCCATGTGCATATCCGTATCCATATCCAGGTATCATTGATTTTAGATGTTAACCTTCCATTTTAAGAAGCATTGCACATTTCAAAGCAGCCCTGAAGATTAAACATCACCGATGCACAGCCATACAATCTTTTAAACCAACCTGAAGACTAAATAGCAAGGCTGCACAACCATAAAATCCCAATGAGAAACAAATTCACCCCACTTTCCTAAAGATGTATGCATGGAATTTGTGTCAACCTCAACATGAAGTTACAAGCATGAGTCATGACCTAGTTCTGTGAAAGCAATTTGTAAATAAATAACTTGAATGGTATAGAGACATTACATAGTGTACTGCTGATCATGCTCCTCGTGTAATTGTTGTTGAGTGAGCGAAACATCAAATCCTTGTTTAGGGAGACTGAAAAGTTCCCGTAGATCCTGAAAGATTTGGGAAGTTAACAATAGAAATCCTTGACATAATGTCCTAAAAAGTAACCATGAAATACTTAAAGCCAAGTCCAATAAAGGATAAAAGCTAGGGATGCAAACTGAGTAGCCAACTTGAAGAATTTACAATGCATTGGCCCCAGGCCCCTTCAAATTCTAATGAATGCTCACCCGAGGGATGATCATTTGTACCCTTTCCTGGGACCGAGCCCACATCAGGCCAAGAATTTTCTGGGACAGGATGGGCCTGGGCCCAATACTTTCACTCGGCTCTCTCAAATACACCTGTATGTTTAATAGTTGATATTCATAGCCATAGGCCCAGGCTACAGCCCTTATCATATTAAGCCTGGCCCTGACATGGCTAGAGCTGTCAAAGAGTTGGGCAGTCCCAAACCAATTACTGATCAGTTCTATCAAGTAGACCCAGAACTTAACAAATTATTAATCAGGTCTGAACCAATCATACTTGACATCTATAATTACCTGTGATAATAACAACTTGAACTTCATTTTGATAATATAACCTTGATGAAAAAGGCAATAAATAGTAAGCCGTTTATATGTCAATAAAACAGTGTTTATAACCAATATTGTCTTATATACTGTCTATGAAATATACCCTTTTGGTAAAAGGAATCTATACATTTAGACAAAATATAACAAAAAATTACCAAAATAGGAGGCCTTTACATACTATAAATTACATAATCAGTTTGGGTCTTAATCAGTTCAGAACAGCCAAAACTGGTCCAACCCAATTATAATCAAGACAACTCAGAACCAGAACCAATAATAATTGGTTCGGTCAGTTGAGTTCTATCGATCTGACCCGACCCATTGACAGTTCTGCACCTGGCCCAGCCAACAATGACCACCCTTAGCTCAGCACAGGCTAACCCATGTTGATCCCTAATAAAAGTCTATAAATATTTACAAACTTCGCAGGTCAGGCAACAATTACACATACACACTGGTCATAGGTATATATACCTGCTGGCTAAAGTACCGTGTTTGCTCTTTGTGCTCAGTTGCAGATTTAAACAAGCCTCCCTTAAATACCTGGATCACAAGCAGAAAGCATAATGGCAGAATTTATATTAACTTCCAAAGTCCACCAGGACACTTGATTCCTAATTAATGATAAATAGATGCAAGGCCTCTCTGCAGGCAAGCATGCCTGCCTTAAAAATTGATGCTGTAATATATATGTGAATGCATGATTTATAGCACACAAATTAACTCATAGTAAGAAAATACAAAAATAGCAAGAATAATGGATCACATGTAGGAAAATGATATCTAGGACCACATGACTAGATTTTTGTTGAGAAAAAGTGTCAACCTGCATTTTATAAATCTTCTCTTCAATAGTACCACATGTCATCAATCGATAAATAATAACATCCTTCTTTTGCCCAATTCGATATGCACGGTCAACACTTTGGTTATCCGTACTACAAAATAAGCCACAAACAGATGGATTATTCTCTTTTCCTTGTACAAGAGAATTGACTAGTTGAAAGAAACTATATGTAAGAAACAGTGGTAATGCAGTGTTACATATACCAAAACCATGTCCAGATAAACAACTAATAGTAAATTTCAACTGGAATTATGTTCTACATTTCTTATAAATTTAAAAACAACTTATTCAAACAAAGGGCATTGTACTTATATCAAGGGAAAAGATCAATAAAATTTACATGCAAATAAATTACATGTCTGTAGATCCTAAAACTTGCCACAAAGAGTACACATGTTAGGTTAGAAAATACCAACATAAATCCGCCTGATATTAATATATTCTGTTAGAGATTACCTACATGACTGGGCAGACCAAGAGGAAATTTTCTTGGAAACAGGGAGTGCCACGAAAGATAATATTATTGCAAGGGTATTGCTTGGAAAACTCAGTGTCAATAGAAGTGCAGGTTTAGGAGGATACAAGGAGAAGAAATATTGTTTTTCCTCACCAAATGTATATGCCTATGCCCAAGGGAGTCTTCATGTTTTCCACTACTGATCTGTCATAAGTACAAGCTGCATTTAGACAGTTGGGACTTGGGACTTAGGATTCACAGATTGCTAAACATTTTTCAGCTAGATGTTCAAGGAAAGTAGATAGGTAGAACACACCATTTATGCTTGACTGTCACTAGGTGCAACATGGGTAGAGGGAAATTGTTAAATTGTGAGTGGGCAAATAGTGGGAGACTGGGAGAATACTCCTATTCCTGTATTCCATGGTCTAATTCCCTCAATGTTCACCCCCACTCCCCCCCACCACCTTTACAAAAAAATAAGGATTATCCTGAATAACCAACACAAATCTAACCATTCTTTCTTAAATTGTTTTGAATTCTGTAATACCACCAATCAAAACCAAATGGAGGCCAAGAACTGCTCATCTGCAATTCTAGTGTGGATTCATTTGCAAAGATTGGTACTACTAAATAATTCATAAAAGACGTGGGCCATCTATCCCTTTGTCATGTGCTGTCTATTAGCCATTCAATAGTTTTAAATTCAAGATTCTCATACAAAGTATATATAGGTAAATGATGACAGAATTCACAAGTATACCTGTTCATGGGCCAGGCTCAGGTTTTGCCAAAATTTAAATAGGCTCAACCCAAAGACCAAGCCTGAAGCAGTGTAGATCTGAGCCCAACGAGCTGAATAGGTCTATTCACAAGATATGGAAATTCTTTAATATGAATACTGATTTTGAAAATGCCCCTAAATCTATGCTTTTTCACCTTGCTGCATCAAACTCACTGACACATCATTTTTTTATCAATAACTCAGGAAATCGATTTCATTAGAATTAAATAAAGCAGTACAACCAGAAGTTATGAAGGAAACAAAGAGGGCACCGAATGTCCAAACCCCCTAAAATTACATATAGACCCAAAACATAGACTACCTTTGTACCCCTTGTTTAGCCAAACTATCTGCTAAAGTGTTGGCTGATCTTCTAACCCAATTAAGTTGAATCAGCATATCCCTTGAGAGCCATTTGAATCTCCTAAGGCCATTCCTTAGGTGCCAAGAGACTCTTTCTCCTTCCCTTAACCAGTCCACAACTGTTTTGGACTCACCTTCAATAACTAGCCTTTCCAGGCCTAATTCCTTAGCTTTCTCAAACCCAAATATAGCAACTAAGAACTCTATAGATGCCACATCACTATGCCCAGCTGGACCCGAGAATAAGGCACAAATGTTGCCTTCCCTGATAGCTCCTCCAATACCTGTAGGGCCTGGATTGCCCACACTGCTCCCACCAAAGTTCAATTTGAACCAGCCACCAGGCGGAGGAGACCAGACCACTGTTTCAACTTGTCTTCTAGAAGATGAAGCAACTATAATCCCCTAAGCAATGAAGAAATCATCAATCTGAAATGAGAACAAGCTCAAGGACTTAACCCAATTATCCACTCGAAGGGTTATGGCCTCAATCAATGCTTCCTTTGTTCTTTCCTTTTCCCCAAAAATTCTAGAGTTTCTTTCCTCCCAGACTGTCCAAACAACTACTGCCATGCAACCTCAGCTCTAATCCTAGAAGCAGTGTTGCTCAGACCCTCCCATTTGAACCAAGTGTCCATATCAGACACGAATCAAATTCTAACACCCCATTGACTTTTGAGGGATACTTCCAAGGTAAGATGCTCCATTCTCTCTTTGCCTATTTCAGAGCTAATGTACACAATAAATGCCATTTTGCAAAAAAGATAGAATAAATTGTTAACTCTTTTTGAGGTACTAGTAAGTGGGCACGTGCTTTGCACGTGGCAATTCTAGATGATGATAATGATAGTAATAATATACCCAAATTTTCTATAAATTTTATGTATTTTCTATTTTTTGTTTTTTATTACTAATTGGGTGCTGATTGCAAAATCTAAATCTAATTACATAAACACCTCATCCAAATATGTGATAATCAGATCATGTTGTGAAGTTTCAAGTATCATTGACAGGCCTATCTGCTCGGCTAGACTCTTCTTTTTATAATGTTTTATCTTTTTGGTGTATCTCTTTTTTTTTCGTTCATTTATCAAAAAAATGTAAGATTTAATAGAGGGATATGAATGAGGTGAAAAGTTATAGTTCAAGTTACAATTTAAAAATGAAGTGAAAAGCAATAGAGGGAACTAAATTCAAAAATGAGTATTTTAGTCAAAAGAAAGTTCCACAATCTTAATCATATTTTTAATAGTAGTGTTAATATAGAATTATAAATGTGTTCAATTTTTTTATAATCTTTTTCTATTTTTGTGTGTAAAAATAATTCTGATATGTAGCACTTACTTTTTGTTTAATATGATAAATATATGCTATTATGCATGTGCTTGAATGCTTTTTTGCAATATTTATGTTTTTTTATTTCTATATTTTATTATTTTTTCTTATTTATTTATGACATTAAAGGTTAACACATTTAACCCAAAAGTTGAACTATTTATTATTAATTTTTATATTTCATTTATGACAAGTTCTAAATTATGTATTTTATTTTCATTATCAATAAAAGAATTCTTGTTTATTACACTTATTTTTCAATTTGATTAATAAAAATATCATAAATGTGCCTAATTTTTTCTATATTTTTTAATTTTTTATATTTATTTCTGTTTAAAAAATTATTATTTTTTGATGAATTTGTTTAAAAAAACTATTACCTAACTATAACTCCATAGCTTGATCAATTTGATTTGGATGGTTGAATTTCTTAGCCACCACTTGGATAAATAGTGGTTTTGTTTTTGAGCCTGTTTTAAAATATATTGGTTTATATTGTTAAAAATATTGACATAGATCTAAATAGTAGCATTTATTAGTGAAAAATAACTTAAATATAGGATTTAATAAAAGAAAATGGGATTTAATACCTTAAGTATAAGACTTAATGAGAAGGGATTAAATGAGGTGGAAAGTAATAATTAAAGTTACATTTTTTACCCTTACAATTAGAGATGGACTAAATACATAAATATGGGCATTTTAGTATCCATTAAAGCTGACATTAAAGCTATAATAAAATGACTTTTATACCCTTTCTGAAACAAAGAAATAGAGGATAATTTTAGTCTGAAAGAAAGTTTCACACTATATCCACACTTTTATATATAGTATGGATATAATGCAAGAATTCAGAAAAAGACTTAAATAGTTTATATTTGTGTCTACAAGTATAACGTAGGAGCTGGTTGAGAGAATGCAAGGTTAGTGGGTAGCCTTGAGCCCTTGCTTTCAAACTTCAACAAAGTAGAGCCCTGAATCTAGGAGAAAATCAAGAGAAATTTTTTTCTAATAGCAGAGAACCCAAAACCCCAGATAGCTGGGACCAACATTGGGCAACGTAGGAGCTGGTAGATAGAATGCAGGGTCAATGCCTTGCTTCAAATTTCAACAAAGTAGGCTTTCAATCTAGGAGAAAATCCAGGGAATCGTAGTTGGTTTTCTTCTGATAGCAGAGAACTAATAGAAAATAACAAAAAAAAAGATTACATGTTTCTTTTTTTTCTGATCAATAACTGAAATTTTCATTAAAAAAATTACATGTTTCTCCAACACTGATTTCAAAAGGTGAAGAAAAGCAGTTATAGAGAAGAAATGAGATTAACTCACTCAACTCTCATTCAATTCTGCTGTTCTGGACAAATTTACATGTATATATAGAACTCCTCACCCTGAGAAATTTGGTATACATTAAAACTGCAGCTGAGTTCTAATTAGAATCCTAGAAGCTGATAAGACTAGAAAATTCAGAAATAGAAACTCAGAAAAGCACAGAAAAATAATAGTTGACTTAAACTAATAGTTCCCTAAACAAAAAAAAGGAAACTACTAATCGCAGATCTAAAAAAATATAGGACACCCCCAAAAATAACAGCTGGTTAAAAAATAGAAGTTACAAATTTAGAAGCTGCTGCAGCTTCTAAATCTGGGTGCAACCATTGGTTCCTGCTCTCACATGTTTTGGACTATCTTTGGGAAATAAGTGCCCATTTGAATAAGTACTTATTCAACAAGTTCTTACTATTGAGTACTTATAGTGTTTGGGAGATCTTTTCTCAAACTGCTTACACTTGTTTTAAGTACTCATTTGTGTTGCTTATCCCATAAGTACTTATATTTGCAGAAATAGAAATTATAGCCCTAACTTAACATACACACACATTTATTTGATACAGGTGAGGCGCCCCGAAAATGCCCAGATGCATATGCCAGAGGCACTGACACCTCTGAGGCGTACGCCTCAGACGCTTTTTTCATGAGGCGTGCTAGAGGCGTACACCTCATGCGCCTCATGTAAAAAGAATGAAAGAGAAGAAAAAAAAAAAGAGAAAAAAGAAAGAAAAGACAAGGAAAGGAAAAGGGAAGGGAAGAAAAAATAGGGGGAAAGAAAGTGGGCCGGGGGAAAGACACCCCCCCCCCCTTCAAATAGTGCTATGCATCTTCATTCTTCTTAATATAAAAGATTTTTATAAAAAATAAAGAAAAATGAGATTCTTCTTCCTCCTCATCCCCCCCCTCCTCTTAAGGAGGCATATGCCTCTTACATTCTAAACTATGCCTCATGCCTCTAGGTAGTGGAACGCCTCCGCATTTTAAAACATTGATTTGATATTTATGGATAATATATTGACATGATGTAGAGAAAATAATGTCACTGCCACTGCAAGTTAACATTTGAGGAAGAGAAAAAGATAGGATTCTATCGGCCTTCTGAAGATGGCCAGCCCCTAGAAAACAAACATAACATTGGGGACAGACTTTTCCCAAAAAAAAGAAACAAGTGCTTATTGAATAAGCACTTAAAAAAAAAGCCACCCAACTCTGGTTTACTTTTTAAGTGTTTATTTTCAAAATAAGCACTTATTTGCCAAACACAAATGAGTACTTATTTTCCACTAATTGTGTGGTCCCAGCACTTCAAAAAAGTAATTATTCGAATAAGTACTCATTTTAAGTGTTCCCAAACAGGGGTGTAGTAACTTTGGTATGATCAAATCTCTCTACAATTTGATTTTCTGTAATTTCTATTGCTCTTGAGGGCTGAACCACATCAAAGTATTTGTGTCTTCATCTTGCCAGGTCAAACTCCTTGAAAAGCATCAAATTCTGGTTTGTGTCATATCCGTGCAACACAGACTGAAAGGCCAAAGCCATCGTCATCAAACAAATGATTATGATTTGATGCCTGCCCCATAACTTACTTGCATTTACAGGGAAAAATATTTTATGGTAAAGATAAATATCACAATGGAAGATTGGAACATGATTTTTTTATCAGTAACAACCAAATGAATTTTACTAAAAGATGAAAAAGGAAGACCAGGAGCAATTTCTTGCTGCAATAGAAAAATCCCAGACTGGCAAGCATGGGAATCCAGGTTTCAGTCTGAAAACAACCACTTTTTTGCAAGAAATTCCAAAAGTTAGGTCTGCATTCAGTCCACCCTTCCCAAGACACCTGGACTGCATACAACAGTCCCTCATACACATCTCACCTCTAAGGTGGCAATGTTGAATTCAAGTATAGCCCTTCCCTTTGGACTCCTCATGCTAGGAGTCCACAACCTCTTTTTCCAATGTCCTAATCCATTGGAACAAAAAATTTCCCACAGTTATAATAGATCTGATTTCTCAGGTAGCCAGGACCAACATTGGTTAATGACCATTTTCTGTAAAAGGAAGGAAAAGCCCTGCTGTGGTAGGATACACACACTGCTGTCCCCTTGGATCAGGAACTCCGCATGGGTTCTCTTGCCACCACTCTAGCTAGAGCATCAGCAAGAGCATGAGCTGACCATGATCCACCTGAACGAGCTCTTCAATAGGGCAGTGAAGGTTTAGATTCACTCACTAAAAAACATATGGCCATAGTACACTTAAATATTACAGTCTCATACATGCAACATTTACATCCAACAGTGCCTTCTTAGTATCAGAACTGCAAAACATGTTTCCACAAAGTGGAATTTGCAAAAGTTTAAATTTTAAATTTAATATGTATTTGGGGTTCATTTAATCTAAAGTGTTCCAAGGGCTAGAAGTTTATTATGGGAATAAGTTTGATTTGTGGGGTACTTAAAAGACAACTGTACAATGAGTATATTGAGTTGAGAAAGGCCCAAGATCATGAAAAAGGGACAGAGTGATGAAGATACCTAGTTGTTTGCATTTCCGTGTACCAATATAAGTTATGATCCCTCCAAGCTGGCTTTTTCAAACATCAGAAGACTTGGGATTCCAGATTCGCTCAAAGACATAGTCTAAATCTCTACCAATGCAATACTATGTGAAAGGTAAGGAGAGCATAGTACCAAAATATGATTAAAGCTTCAAAGCAGTTCACATAATATTGTAATTGTAGCAGCAATACAGCATGAAAGGATTTGTTTCCTTTTAATAACAAAGTAAATTTTGGATTTGTATTGTCCCTAAAAACAGTAGCTGCTTGTCCCAAACAACCAAAGTTACATTCTCACCTTTAGTAAGGGACTGAGGATGCAAATATATTTGTCTCTTCCTTTCCTTTATAATCAATTACTATTCTTGCTCTTTGATTCACATCAAAAACTGGTACAGAATAACTTGTGTTGATAACAACAAACAATTTCAGGTTCAAGAAAAAAAGGAAAGAGTACTTCACAACATCCACTCTATATCAAACAAATGCTTGAAGAAATAATTAAAAAAAAGGAAAACAAACAAGTAAAGATAAGAAACTACACTATTTGCATCAATATTACCTTGGATTCCATGCTGGATCAACCACAATGACACGGTCAGCTTTTGTAAGTGTAAGACCAAGATCACCAACTTGAGATGTCAACAAAAAAATAGGAGCACCTTTACCTTCTTGGAAATCCTGTACATGAATGGCACAAATAAGAAAGAAAGTTCCAAGAGAAAAATAAGCAAACTGCTCCCTAGTTAAGTTACAGATAACTAACATTCACAATCTTCTCTCGATCACTAGCTTTTGTGGTCCCATCAATGCGTAAGAACCTGTAACCCTTTGATGTTATGGATTCCTGGAAAAAGAAAACAACCATAGAAGAACATTTTTTCATATCAAACCAGGACAATTGAAAAGGTCAAAGCATACAAAACAAGTTTAAAATGTGTATGTCTAAGAACTAACTTCATCAACTAAGAATATTGAAGCAACATTTCAATTATAAAATGAATACCATTATTTGAATCTTTGATGTAGTGAAACTAATAAACCGGAGCCTAATAACAAAAAAAATAATTACTCATCCTCAAACATGCACAGGATGCTTTTAATACATATAATGATATAAAACAAAGTATATTCATATTTAATTGATAAAAAAAAAGTATATTCCTATTTAGACATGGGACATTTTCGCATGAACTAGTCAAATTACAAGCAATGCAGAATAGCTGTAACTATAAGTGACCTAAAAACACCTGAAGGGATCTCAGGTATACCATTACTATGCTCCATAGTGCAGTACAACTATTAAGCCCAGATAAGTATATGGCACACATGCATGGATATAGGAAATGGGGATACAAGTYTCCATTTCTTAAAATCCTTGACATAGATATGGGTAGGGACACAGGGTATCCCATGTAGTGCTGTAATTGGGCTGGATTCAGATTGTATCTGACCACATCCAAAATCCAAATCCAATCTGACAACTGGACATTGAATTACAAATCCAATCAGATCTAGGGAACTCGGATTGTGTTCATTTAATACAAGTCCACTTTGTATTTCTTTAAAATAAAGAAAAAGCTTTAAAAAATGAAATTATTTTTACCTTATAATATAATCATGGTTTAAAATGTCCAAAAATTTCCTACTATTTCCACGGCATATTTTTCCACGGGTACAAACACAAAATTTTACTAAAATCGACATATTTCCCAATGAATACTATTGGAACTAAGTGGAGTACAAGAGATAGTATTATAATGTATATTGGTGACAATATTGTAAACACATGGAGTAGCAATCTTATTGCCCACCTAATGGACATGATTACCACTTTGAGCCAGCTTGATATTCTTGCCAAACATGAAGATAATATTGATTTTTGTTAGTCTGAAAGATTTTTGGTTGATCTATTAGAACTATTTGCATTTTCTATAAATTTAAATTTTGTTTGACCTCATTCTATCATGTACTTTTGACTCTTAAGGTTTACCGGACAACTTCACAACATATTATTTTGTCTACAACTTAGTTTCTTAGCATTGTTAAATTATTTGGAACAAGATAATAATTTTAAAAGGTGTGCCTACATTTCTTTTATCATTTCACAAAATATCATTCTATACGTTTGCATATTTGAAATTTCTAACATTTCTGACATGTTTCCTATTTTTGGATGACCAACATTTCCACCAACACCGACATTTTAAACCTCGTATATTATATAAATTTAAATAAATATGAAATGTTCAATTTATTATTATAAATTCTATAATATAATATTATATACATAATTTAATCATAGTTGGAACTTAATCAGATCAGATGTCACATCAGGTTTCAGACTTTTGGAATCAATTGACAGCCCTAATCCCATATAATAAGCTTATAATGCATATTATATCATTTCTTGAGACTTGTGTCTAGCCAAGTTTAATTAAATTTCTAAGATGTGCATATCTTAATAGCATATTTTGTTAAAATATACCATTTCACATATCCAGCTATCTAGTGTATTGGGAGGGATGGATTTGATAAAGACCAAACTTTGGCATTTTTTGCACAAAGTGACATTCTGACCACTCTCAGACTCGAACCAGTGTTTTTACACTTATCCTGAGATTTTACCATCACACCAAGCAATAGCCCCTTAATTTAATGATTAATCTAGGCCCAATAAGCTTAATTTAATGCTTCCAGTGTGCTTTCAAAGAAAACATAACCTACCTTAGTTAGATTAGTTGCAACAATTAACTTCTTTTCTTAATTGGAAATACCGGTACATTTTCTTTGATAAGTAAATGCCGATAATCATAAAGTTAGAGAAATAAGGGATACAAAGAGAATGCACTAATGCATATGTGGTAAGTAAAATACACAGTAAGGCCAGTGAAAATCAAAACAGAACCAGAAACGTAATAATTCTAATAAAACAAGAAAAAACAAAGGCATCCAAGATTACCTGAATAAGGTTTAGCATCTTGCGAGTCTGAGAAAAGATCAATACATCATGCCCTTCAGGAATCAAGTTATCCTACAACAAAGTATTACAAATATCAAATTCAATTTGTCAAATGAAGCACCAAGAGAATCAATATGAAAAGGTCTGGATATCAAACCAATAAAGATAATATAAAAGTTATCTTGCATGAGACGTTGTAATGCATATTTTGAGAATTGCCATTTTCAGTGACTTTTTCTAAATGTAATGACATTCTTTTCACCACACCAAGTTCTTCCTGGTTAAGCATTGAATCCATCCCCTCTAATACATCTTCAGCAGCTCTTTTTGTCAAAAGAAATGGATGATCACATATTTTTTTCATGATCTGATTCAAATAAATATAGTTTCAATTAAGACCATGTTTAGGAAGAAATAATGCTCAACAAAGCATCAATGCATTCAAAGAATTTGAGAAGTTCAAATGAGCAACAAGAACCAACCAAAATAACATCTTCAAATTTTAAAATAGCAAATTACTTTACCAGAGAATATTGTTAGAGCACCAAACAGTAACATATGAGACAACATTGTACATTAGTAGCTAGTCGTTGAATATAATCAGATATGATGAACTTACTAACTGGAAGTAAATCTAATTGAACAAGGCTATATGGGATTGAAGGACTACTCAAATAATAATAAGCTCAAAAAATAAAATAAAGCAAATAACCGACAACTGAGTCAGGGTTCTGTGTACAAGAATTAAGAGTTTAAGATCCAGAACAAACAGAATCCAAGGATCCTCCCTCTCTTCCTGTCTTTTTCCCCGTCTGTCTCCCCCATCACCCAAAAAAGCTGCATTCCTTTTCCCCTTTTCCCCTCAAATATGTGAATTTGTTCTGCATTTGTTTTTAACAAACTAGTCCATTGCCATACTTGGTGTACACAGTCTCAAAATTGAATAGATCAAATGGTCCTGCCCCAAACATCTACCATGCATAGAAAAAGCAAACTCATTATGCACGAAAACTAATTCCAACAATCAGGATCCATATGGCATACAATGGTGTTGAAAATGAAAGTTATAAGATACATCAAGGGCTAGAAGGGCTAGGGGCCAACCAAATAGGACTTGGGTTGAAGCAGTATGAAATGATTTAATAACTCATAATTTAATAATGGATATGGAATAAACAGATCGAAATAGCAAAACAGGAATCATGCAGCCAACCCCATATAGTCAGGATGAGACCTTTTTTAATAATAAATGAAGGCAGTGCAGTGCACAATGCTCCCACCAATTCGGCGTCTGGGGAAGAACAGATCCTGAATTGATCACCCAGGTCGCAATGAAGCAACCTAACCATTGCACCAAAGCCCACCCTCACTTTTTTTGTAATAAATAAAAAAGAAAAATATTATTACTAAAAGAGGAAGGTACAACTGAAAGGTGATGAGAGGTCACTATTAAAGGAAGAAAGCACCTCAAAAGAGATGCACAAGAAGAGGAAAAAAACACAAAAAGAAGAAATACAAAAGATCTAGACCATGATCCTTCTCCAGCAAATAAGAGTAATTCGGTCTCTTGAACGAGACTTATTTCTGAAAACTCTCATATTTCTTTCTTTCCAAATTTCAAAGCAAACAACAAAAGGGATGCAGCTCCAAGCAATCTTTGCCTTGATATTTCCTCTCATAGTTGGCTATCGAGCAAAAATTTCTTCTGTCAATCTAGGTTCCATCCAACTAGTGTTAAAGAGACCAAAGAAGAAACCCCTAACAAATCTACTGTAGGCACAGCCAATGAACAAGTGAAGAACATTCTCCTCTGCATTCTCACGTAAATTGCATCTACCAGCCAAGTGAAAGCCTCTACTTTGAATATGGTATAAAGTCAGAATGCTGTCCAACACCACTAACCATGCAAAAGCTTCTACCCTTGGAGGAACAGGATTTCCCCAAATCCCCTTTAACTCAGATTTTTCTCCTTCATTCCTTAGCAAAGCTTTCTAGAAAGATTTAACAGAAAATAAACCATTTCTGGATTCTTTCCACCATCTCGAATCTTTTCTTTCCGCTTGTACTTCAGCTGATTGTAGTTTTGAGAATAATTCCACAAAAATTTCCATATTTCCCAATCAAAAAGAGATCTTTTGAATTTTGGGCACCGTTGGRATTCTGCCCAACTCAGACTCTTCTTTGAGGGAAAGTTCCTCCAACAAAAAATTTGGGAGTTAGAGAATGAGAAACAAGATTTTTCTTATTCCTTCAGCTTCAGGTAATCTCTTACAATCCTTTTATACTTTTATGACTACACTATAACAGATTTGCAACAGATTGTTACAACTTGCATCCTTGGTTAAGTTCTTGGTTCCAGAATCTTCTTCGGTTGATGGCTTCTCACATGGCCTCTTTTTCCCCTTCCTGAAATAGGTGTTTACCACCGGCTTAGGTTGGCTCCCTAAAGAGTCCCTAACAGCTCCCTCCTCATCAAGTTGGACCTTGTTGTCAAGGACAGGGTATGGAAACTACCGTATCAGTTCAATGTGAGGTTTCTGAGTAGCTTCCTCACTTGCCAGCCCATCTCACCGAACAAGGACTTCCTTAATAAATTTCTGGCCTGATTTGATCCAACAAGTATCCACAATTTCCTTTGGTTGGAGGTAGACTAACCCATCTTCTGTAAAATCTGGTAATGATGGTGACATTGTAATCTGAAAGATTGGGACCCTACTGATTTCTTGAGAAAAGATACATGAAATATGGGGTGAAGACGTGATGAGGTTGGCAGTTCTAGTTTATATGCCAATAGGCCAATGCGTTGTAAGACCTTGTAGAGACCGAAATACCTACGAGAGTGTTTAAAGTTTGCATGCTTGGAATTCCAAGGGCCGATGCTTCTAATCATAATAATGTTTCATGTATTGCTAGGCCCGCTCCAAATAGTACATTAAGAATAGCATCACAAGTAGTGAGGTGTTCATCCACCGCTGCATTGGCTGTTAAACTGTTGGGATGGCCTGTCTCGGCCACCAGGGTAAGACCCAAGGCACATGCAGTATGGGATTACTTGAATCCTTGAACCGGACCACCCCTTTACAGCCTCCATGGTGGCTGAGATTTTTACTAAGGAGGTGGCATGACTGCATGGTACCCCTAACTCTATTGTCTCAGACCGCAACCCCTTTTTTATGAGTCGTTTCTGGGCAGAACTTTTTCGACTACAAAGAGTAAAACTCTTCAAATCTACCAGCTACCACCCTCAAACAGATGGGCAGACTGAGGTGGTCAACCGGAGTTTGGAATCCTATCTAAGGTGCTATGCAAGGGATAGGCCACGTCTGTGGTTCAAGTGGCTTCATTGGGCAGAATGACGGTACAATACCACGTATCATAGTGCAGTAGGAATGACTCCCTTCCGGACTCTATATGGACGGGACCCACCTCCCCTACTCCCATATGAGAAAGGGTCTACAGCAGTAGCAGCAGCAGAAGACCAACTCCTCCAGCGAGATAGGGTGTTACAAGATCTCAAATCCCACCTCCATCGAGCCCAACAATGGATGGCAGACTCCTACAACAGAAGGCATAGGCCTGTCCAGCACCAGATTGGGGAGCAAGTCTTCCTTAAATTACAACCATACAAGCAAGTTTCAGTAGCAGGCCACCGGTGGAACAAACTGAGCCCTAGGTACTTTCGGCCCATTTCGGATTGTGGAACGCATTGGGTCRGTGGCATACAGGCTTGACCTCCCAGCAACATCAAAATTACACCCTGTATTCCATGTATCCCTATTGAAGAAATGGCCAAAAATAGGAGCAATAACAACAACCAACCTCCCATCATTCTCGGAAGATGGCCAAGCTCAAACTGAGCCCACTCGGATAACAGATTTTAGGTGGATACGCAAAGAGAATCACATCGAACCAGAGGCATTGGTGGTATGGTCAGGTCTCCCAATTGAGGATGCAACTTGGGAACCTTACTTGAATTTACAGAATAGATTCCCACATCTTCGCTTTCAAGGGAGGAGGGACTGTTGAGACACAAATAAAGGGAATACAAGTGTACAAGAAAAGGCCACGCCAGCCTTTAAAGAATGTAACTAAGAGCCAACCACTAGAACAAACTAAATAACAAACTAGACAAGTGGACTGGACAAGTGGAGAGGTTGGTACAACAGAATTAACAGCCAACCACTAGAACAAACTAAATAACAAACTAGACAAGTGGACTGGACAAGTGGAGAGGTTGGTATAACAGAATTGTAACAGCAGTATATAAATAAGGAAAGGAAGTTAGGAGGGGAATACAATCTCTCTTTCTTTCTCTCTCTCTCTCTCTCATTCAAGAGGCAGGCTCCCTCGAAAGAGTCCCTGAGTTAGGCAGTCCCTAACATTCCTTGTCCTCCATTTAACTTTCTTTAACAGATCCCTATAGCCCCAACAAGCTGTTTCTAGGCTAATCAGCCAGCCTACTACTACCTTGGAATCCCCTTCTACTAACAGGTTGTTCACTCCAATTTGACTAGCCATCTGTATACCTTGTACCGCTGCTAGTAGCTCTGCCTTTACTGAATCACCTTCACCCACTGGTCCTGAAAATAGAGACAACATATTGCTGTCTTTGTCTCTCAGAATCCCACCAATTCCGGATGGCCCTAGATTACCTTGGCAGGTTCCATCAAATTTCAATTTTACCACACCATCTGGTGGGGATTTCCATTCAACTTGTGAATTGATCTTGGTGGAGACTGTAGAAGCCACTGCAGCCCAATTTCTCCTTAAGTCATCAAAGGAGTAATCTGCCAACAAGTGTGAAGATTTTAACCATGAGATAGTCCTTGTCAATATGCATTCCTTGATTTCAACAAGACTTCTTTCCTATTCTTGAAACATTCTAGCATTTCTCTCCTCCCATACAGTCCACAACATAGCAGCTTTGATACATTTCCACATTAGCTTCCCTCTTTTTGTCAATCTCCCAAAAGCAGCTGGAGTGAACAGCAGCTTTACTTCAGAGGGCAAGTTCCACCTGCACCCAAATAATGAAACAACCCAGTTCCAAATATTGGCAGCAAAGGAGCATGATCTCAACAAATGGTTACAATCCTCACCCTTCACTTTACACAGAAAGCACCAATTAGGGGACAAACACATAAAAGGTTTCTTCTTTTGCAAGTTTTCCACAGTATTGATCTTACCATAATAGGCTTCCCAACAGAACATTGCTATTTTGGGGGGAATTGGCTTTGACCAAACCTCTTTAACAGGGAAGACCTGAGAGGAGGGGTTGGAGCAAAGGGCTTTAAAGAAAGAAGCACAAGTGAATGAGCCAACCGGGGTTAGGGACTAGACTCTTTTTACTACTTCATGCCACAACCTCTCCCTCTCCAGGGGCCACCTCCAAAGCCACTTACCTAAAAGAGCCTCATTCTTACTCACCACATTCCCTAAGCCTAGGCCTCCTTCTTTGCTTCGACACACCACCTCCCACCTAATCAAGTGATCTTTTTTCTCTTCACCAGGTTCCCATAAGAAATCCCTCATCAGTTTTTCCAACCTCTTTGCCTCCCTTTTAGGAATTCTAAAGTCTGACAAGAAGTATAAAGGCAAATTGGCTAAAGTTGCTTTAACCAAAGTAACTCTACCCCCCTTGGACATATAGTTTCTCTTCCAAGCTTGGAATTTTTCCAAGCTGACAAGAAGTATAAAGGCAAGCTGCCAATCAAAGTAACTCCTCAATTAGCCTTCTTTTCCTAGCACTCCCCAGCCCCCTTACATTCCAACTAATGATTTAGGAGATAAGAGATTTGGCAGCCCCTTCTGAGATCAGGCCCCTACTTGTATTTCTCAATTTTGTAAAATTCAGATATTGAAAGAAATACAACTGGTATCCAATGATCCAATCAAAAGAATTCTTTTATTGTTGACACACACACACACACACATATATATATATATTGGTTTTAATTCAGTTCATCTATTGCTTCAAGTCAGAATCAAAACATTTTCTCAACAAATTGCAAAAATGTAATTAAGGGGGCCATCCATAGAATACCACAAATGGGTCTTACACAAAATAACAAAAACTCTATAATTTAATTGAGTGTATTATTTTGTATAAAATTTCTTCATACAAATAAAGAAATCAAACTCAACAAGTGGTATTCTAATTAACCTCAATATAGATTTTTCATTAATCAAAACTCATTACATTTAAGTAATGACACCAAGTATCAACAACTATATATAGTTAAAATACCATATGTATGGATATATGTATGCATGTACAGATATTGGTGCATTTATAATAGAAAATTCTAAAAGTAGATACTTCCATTCATATACATTAAAAGCAATCAAAGAGATAACAGACATTGAACATATCAGTACCATCAATGCAGCCAATGGTGACCCATCAAATGATGAAAGAACCAGCTCACTGTTCAAGAAAGCTTCATATAGTTGTCTCTACACAAGTGAAAGAACAGTTATGAAATTATCACATCAATTCAAAGTTAAGGTGTTAAGATGGAATAAGTTAACTGTCAAAAAATTAGACCAAAACCTGGCAAGGGGCTAATCTCAACCACACAATGAGCTCAGCTTTTTTAGAAAGCTTGGCACTTGTCGATGCTTCATTTTCACAAAAAACTTCACTTTTTAAACGACGCAAGAAATATGGTTCAATGCGTTCTCTTAGCTCCTGAAAAAAAATTCAGACTTGTACTTCACGTTCTAGAATCTTGGAGTACTATCTGATAGTGATTGAGATGAATGCGAATCAAAGCTAAATGCAAAAAGTTCAAAACAAGCTTTCATGTTAAGACAAATAAAAATCAAAATAAATGAACAGTTGAATAGACAAATAATTGAAATAAGAAATTAAACAATGAACAACGAGCAAAGTAAAGAATGGATTGATTGAAAAAGAAAAGAAAATATAATGGATGTAATCTATGTAATTACTACTATGAGATGTAAATCAGTCCTTTAATACCAAGATTAAACTTAGTGATTAGCAGAATAAAACAGGTCTGAATAACTGTACAAGAGAAGAAGATGGCGAAGAGAAGAGGTAAGAGAAGAAGGAGTCGAATAATTCTCCATTCTCCTCTAACCCTATTTTATTAAGATCTAAAAATTTGATGATGACAAGAATGCCCTTAAGTGGGCGGCCAGCTTGGCAGTTACATAAAGAAAAATAAAACAAGAATAAATAATAGGCCCAATAAGTGTGGCCCATCAACATAAAATAAAAGATATTACAAGAGAGGCTATTAGGGCCCATTCGGCCAGTCTCTTTACACTATGCATACTTTGCATTAATTAATTCAGTTTACCATTACATATCAAAAAGAAAAGAAAGGAAATATGCCATACTTTACACTCCCCCTCAAGCTGAGCATAGATGTCAATCATGCCCAACTTGCTTATATAGTGTGTCAATTTCCCCCTTGGAACTCCCTTGGTCAAGATATCAGCCACTTGCTCTTCTGATGTGATGAATGGTAAGCAAACTTCTCCTGAAGAGACTCTTTCCCTTATGAAATGCCTATCAACCTCAATGTGCTTAGTTCTGTCATGTTGAACAGGATTAT